GAGGCATCGATAAGATAGCCCAGGAACTCTACCTGTGGAACGGCGATCTGGCACTTCTCCCTCTTTACCTTGAGCCCGGCCTCCTGGAACCTGGTCAGCACGGCACGGAGGCGCTCGAACAGCTGCTGGTGTGAGTCTGCAGACACCAAGACGTCATCAAAATATGGTACCACGCCCGGAAGCCCTTGCAGGAGACGCTCCATAAGGCTTTGGAAGATGCCAGGAGCCACACTCACCCCGAACTGCAACCGGCGGCAACGGAATGCCCCCCGGTGGGTGACGATCGTCTGGGCTTCAGCAGTGGCATCATCGACTGGCAGTTGTTGATAGGCTTGGGCAAGGTCCAGCTTAGCGAAGACCTTACCCTCACCCAGGGAATGCAGCAGGTGTTGGACAACAGGAACCGGATAAGCGTGCTGCTGAAATGCCTTGTTGATCGTGCACTTGTAGTCAGCGCAGATTCTCACCGACCCATCTGGCTTGACAGGCGTGACGATGGGGGTTTCCCACTTTGCGTGGTCAACCGGCTCCAAAACTCCTTGGGCGATCAGTTTGTCCAGTTGTTCGTCCACCTTAGCCTTGAGAGCAAAGGGAACCCGGCGTGGCTTTAGCTTGATGGGGGCGACTTGTGGATCAAGGCTAAAGGAGATGGGCGTACCTGTATATTGGCCCAAGGTGCCGTCAAAAACCTCGGCAAAGTCTTTGACCAGACCCTCAGTCTCTGCGTTAGAGATGCAGTTGATGCCGGTGACTTCCAGGCCGAGGGCATCAAACCAGTCTAGCCCTAGGAGGCTTGGCCGCTGACCTTCGACCACCACCAACCGGAGCAGGCCCGAAAAATCCTTGAAGGCGATCCGGAACCGGCCAACGCCTACCACGGGAATGTCGTTTCCCTGGTAGTCTCTCAGGTGTACGCGGTGAGAGTCGAGTTGCCTTTTGGACACTCTGGGTACCAGTCTTTTGATGGTGCTCCATGACACGATGGACAGGGCAGACCCGGTGTCGATCTCCATGTCACATGGAGCTCCTTCAATGAGCACCGTGACGTTCAGCTTGCGTCGCGTAGGCGAGTCGGTTTGACCAATTGTGGTTCCAGACGGGCAGCGGCAGTTGGTGAGAGCGAAACAACTTTCCTTGGCAGACTGGAGTGAAGACTTGGACTTGCGAGTCGATGAAGGGGGGGTGTCAGATGGAGCCGATCGGCAGACCTTAGCGATGTGGCCCCTTCTGGAACACTTCCTACAGATGGCGTCTCTGAATCGACACTTGGCACGGGAATGGTTGCCTCCGCAGCCAACACATTCCGGTTGGCCCTTGGACTTCTGTTGGAACTTCCTGCGCTCCCGCTTTGTCTGGTGCACGTCATCGTCTTCACTGGAGGATGCCTCATCACTGCTGGCCTCTTCATGATGCACCGGAACTGGCTCCCTAGCAAGACGCGGGCTGCTGGACTTGCGGATCTCCTGGGCGGAGCGTTCAGCAGCTTCTGAGGCCACAGCCTCCTCAATGGCTTTCTGTAGCGTGAGGTCTGGCTTGGCTAGGAGGCGCCGTTGCAGATGGATGTCCCGGACCCCGCAGACGATTCGATCCATCAGGGCATCGTCTAAGTCTCGGAACTCACAGCGCATTGCAGCCTGTCGCAGGGCGGTGGTGTAGTTGTTGATTGACTCCCCCTCTGCCTGGTTCCGGTGGTAGAACGCATGGCGGGCAGCAATCTTGGACGGCTTTGGTGCGTAGTGGTTGCGGAGCTTCTCTTGGATCGTGTCCCATGGTGTTGCCTGGACTGCTTCAGGCGCAACCAACGCTCGGGCCGTCTCAAACACCTCAGGCCCACAGAGGCTGAGGAATAGGCCCCGCTTCCGATCCTTTGATACTGCTGTCAGCTCGTTGGCTTGGAGGTAGCAGTCGAACCGAGCGAGGTAGGAGTCCCATGATTCAGAGGCTGGCGCAAACGGCGGTAGAGGCACAAGTGAAGCCATGATTCCGATGCCGGCGTGAAGGGCGATGGATGGAACACAGTGCTCTAGCCAGAACAGTCAGCTCTGAATTGGTTCTGCCCAGTGATTTCGCTCAGTGATTTCGCTCTGTGATTCAGCTCAGTGATTCAGCTCAGTTCAGAGGCTGGCCGCATCTGGCTGTGCTCTGATGTCCATCCATCCCACCTTCGTCGCCAGTGTTAAGTCGTGGGTTGACATAGCAGCCGGCACAGCGATTTCTTCAAGTAGCTCTTTATTCTGGTAAGCTGGAATAGAACTGACTGCGAACAGCTCAGCCGGCCTGTATTTATAGGCAGCCGGCTGTCAACATTGTAACCACAACAGCCCAGAGTTCCCGCCTAAAATAACTGGCGCGGACCTGAGTGAAAACTATCTACAGACCTGAGTGAAAACTATATACAGTATCCCCCTGTTGGCCCAGGGTGAAACTACACTACATAACACAACCATTTAATAACTTTTAATGCTAATGTTAAAAGTTAGCTTGAAAAGCATGAGAGCTTTTCAAAATGAGATAAATGGCCTTGCAGAGAGAATTTGACATGTGTTTGCCTTTCGGTTCCAAAAGTTTGCATTTTCAACTAGTTTAAGAACCTTTCCTTTCCTTGTTCACTTGGCACGCATCCTGTTACTTTTCTATTGCTCCCTTACCAAGGGTCATTGTGTGTTGACGATGGTTTCACCTGCAGCTGACCTAAATTCATCTCATTTGCTTATAATAAATAATGAATTCACCTTGCGCTTTGTGTAGCTGGAGTCAGAACCCGTGCGCTAAAGTGGCTCAAAGTGCACAGCCACAAGCTACTGCAGACCTCCATTATGCATTCCCCATGGCGGAAGTAGTTGCCTACCAAACACTTTCCCTTCTGGTTTGCCTGGTACAGTATCGTGGCTATTTGTTGCTCAGCTGTAGAACAGAGCAAGATACATTGGTTTTAATAAGGTTGTGGGGCATGTATGGTGGGAACGTATGGAAGCTCATGGGAGAAATGGACTTGAGTTTATCACAACCACCTTGAGCAAAGGACTGTAGAGGGTTGAGGACTGGGGTGTCTGAAGGCTGAGTGGTCTGATCCTGCTGTTGGCCCAGCTCCCTTTTATGCTCTTTGGGCTGTTGCCCAATTCTGTCATCCTTGGCTCCTAGTTTGTGGGGAAATAGGGAGGCACTGGGAATGTGTCTTTCAAGCCAGTTTCTCTCTTTTGCTCCCACACCCATGCCACTGCTTAAACATCTAGCCTCATAAACAATTCTGAATATCAGGAAAGCTTGTTTGCTATTTTTTGTGACATTTTGGTTGGTCCAATGAAGGTATGAGCCTATCCTGGCATTTGGAAGCAATACTAAAAAGGGACAGTGTTTCTGTTCTTTATTGTACAATCTCTTGGCTCTTTTGTAGGGGAGTGACTCATGATTTACTAATGTTTGGATTGGCACAGAAAATGTTTTGGGAGCATTTGTATAGCATAGAACATGGTTCCAAGCAGAAGTAACTGCATCAATTTTCCCATGGGAATTGCTTTCTTAAGGTTGTATGTTGCATCTCACTGAAATGCCATCAGAGAAATATCCTATGTGAAAGGCAATGTATTAAACAACTTGCCACCATTTCCCCTTTGCCCCAGAATTATATTACGTCGGGGCACTGTGGGAAATTAAAAGGATCCAGCCACTTGATGCTTCTTGCGGTCATGGCTAGAAAAAAACATTTATGGTAGGCCAAAGATAGGCCTTGAGAGCTGGTTCAGGCATCAGGCAGGAATATTATAAAATGAGGAACTTAAGACAACCATGACTGTTTAATTATTTCTAAGTCAAAGTTAGCCACACTCGCATCCTTCCGACTGTAATTTTGAATATCTCTGTTAATGAACTTCTCAAATGCTGTGCTCTCACTTTTGGTTGCTTCTTATGCTTTTGCTAGTTCTGGCCCTTTAATTGATTTACTTATCTGTTCATTCACATGAATAGCAAGAAGGCAATTTAATTCAGGGATGAGAAAGAATGCTGAATTGTAGTTGTAATCAGAAGCCTGAGATTAATAATTCCTAGTTCACTCCCAAGAAACACCAAAAGCAGGCAGAAATCGGCTCCTCCAAACAACCAGAAAACAACAACACTGCATCTGAAAAGTTGATTCCTGGTGTGTGCATTCAGAGAATCCAGTGTATGTGCATGTACAGGGAATTTCCTACCCAGCAGCCTGTGAAGTAATATACTGTAATGGGCTCTAGTGATCATGTGCTCCTTGCCAAAAGCCTAATTCTATTCTGTTCCACCTTGCCTCCTACACTGGTGCCCTGGCGAGGCTCACCTAGTGCCTACTTTGGTGTCTTTTTATTGCCCAATCCTTTTAAACTCTATTTCATTGTCTGGTTTCATTACTTATTTATATACCACCTTTTTCTTCCAAGGACCTCAAAATGGTATGTCTAGTTCTCCTCCACCCCATTTCAGCCTCACAACAGTCCTGTGAGGTAGGTTAGACCAGTGCTTTTTCTGGGGGGGGGGGATGCAGTGGTACATATACCCTTAAACATTTTGTGAATCTAAGTTTGGTCTCATTGAGGGGCAGTATTTCAGTATGAGTAGGAAAATGAGAGTACACCTAAACATTATTTTTTTTAGAAAAAGAAGAACTGGGTTAGAAGGGATGGTGAATGGCCCGAAGACTTGATCTTGCTGCTTCTAATTGGCTTTCACTTGTATTTTGCGGTTTCACCCAGTAAACCAGTCTGTGGCAACACCGCGTTCTACAAACGCTTGGGATTCAGGGAGATCTGCGCTGCTCTGCGGCGCTTTGCGCGCTACAGAAACATGGGGCGGCTGCGCAGCGCTTCGCTTTCACAGCGCCCAAGGAACCCGGATGCTCCGGTTCTCCGGGCAGGCCCTCTTCCTCGGCACACTCTCTCCGTTTCGCTTGAGGGAGAAGGGAACTCAAAACCACAACTCCCATAATCCCGCGCGAGTAGCTTCCGCGGCGACGCGACTCCGTGACAGCCGGGGGGCCCCGAAAGGAGTCTTACAAAAACGCTTTTACTGGTTTTCTCCTCGGGTCGCGCATGCGCTGCTGCCGGAGCCCTCGATTTTTTTCTTCCCTGAGGGGGGGCGGGGGTGGAATGTTGTAGAGCGGCGAGTGGGCGGAGCAGTTGCGGCTGCCTCTCTCTCTTCCCCCCCCCCGCCCCGCCCGCCCGTCCTCCCCAGTTGCTAATATGGCGTCTCGGAGAGCTCGCTCCGCCTCAGGTCAGTTGAGAGCCCGGCTTCCTCCAGGGCCGCCTGGCGCAGTTTCCATGGCGCTCGAGCCTCCCAGAGCGGAGATGGCCTGCCTTGCGCAGAGAGACGGAGCCGGTTGATGGAGGAGCTGGTCAGTCGTCTCGACTTGGGAGCCCCACTCGCCCGCCTCTTCCCGGGCTTCTCTCTCTCAATCCTGCCCTGCCCTTTCGCCCACCCCCAATCCGTGGGGCTGGGGCGGCCTGGCTGGATGCGCGCGGCTCCAGAGTAGGCGGGGCTTGCGCAGACCCCTTGCCCAAGGGGGCGGAGGGTGAGGGGGTGCAAATGTATTAGAGGCGGCGAGGGTCAGGGCGCTTAGGGGCCTCCTCCAGCCAGGACATTTTCTCGCAGTCCCAACCTAATCAGGCTTACTCGGAAGTAAGGCTCTCTGTGCTCAGTGGTTCTCACTTATTTAATAAGTGTGCTGAGGGTTGGCCATAATAAGAGGCCTGCTGGGTCAGATTAAAAAAAATCACCTAGTTTAGGATCAGTGGCTACCCAGATGCCCATAGGGAGCTCACAGTGGGTTGGACTGGATGACCCTTAGGGTCCCTTCCAGCTCAACAATTCTGTGATTCTAACAAGCAGAGCCATTTCCTGCTGGTAGCTTCCCAGCCGCTAGCATTCAGATGCATGCTGCTGACCCTGGAGGCTCTGTGGCTTAGAGTAAGGAGTATTAGCTTTTGGTAGGTTCATCCAGCACTAATTTACTTCAGTCAAAGCCTCATAACGCCTTAAAAACACTAACTGGTGTATTTATTACAGCACAAACTTTCATGGTCTCCAGCCCACTTTGTTAGATGCATCCATGTGGGCTTGAGTCCTCAAAAACTTACGGTATAATAAATACATTAGTTGATTTTCACGGTGTTGCGAGACTCTGATTGTTTTGACTCAGATTTTGACTCCGATTGAGATTTAACACAAAAAATTAACAATGGAAGGCTACCTTGTGATCCAGGATAGTGCAACAATGCAGTGTATTTGCTGGCGAAATTAAGAGGGAAAGGGTTTGGTTTCTCTGAGGAAGCAAAAATACAGTTGCTCTTTTGTCACCCTATCCACTCCGTCCCCTAGTCTAGTTTTCTGATTACTGCTTTTAGCTGTACGGCTATTCTTTCACCTTATGAGTCCCCTAAAAATTTAAAGCGTGGCTGGGATAGACAGGCACCAAAAAGCATATATATCATGCAGGTGTGCCTATCTGAGAGAAGAGATTGGCTGGCAAACTCGGGTTTGTTGCTCTACCATGAGTGAAATGACTCTTAGGGTAAGCCTGTGCAGTGGCTAAGGTGTCACATACAGAGAGAAGATGGCTACATGTGGAACAGTTATCACTTGGCATATTTTATGTAGGTACTAATATGAAGTCAGAATAGTAAAGAATTTAAAAGGATAGATTCTTCTGCTCGCACCATTTGTTCTTGTGGGTGAGGTGTGTGTTTTCTAATCCGTGTTAATGAATGGTTGTAGTTATTCCAGATTAAGTAATGTTGCATGCAAGCTGTTCTGGGTATGTGTTAACGGCTGTCTTTTATTTTACGTTTCATCTCTTCCATCCTTGATGTAGCTGCCTGCGCTTCCAGCTCCATACAACATTTACCTGAATTTAGGTTTTTTGTTGTATGATAGGAGAAGCCAACTTGGTGCCCTCCAGACATGGTTGTACTCTAGCTCCCTCCAGCCCCAGCCAGCATGATGAGAGCTGTAGTCCCAACAACACCTTGAAGGCACCATGTTGGCTACCCAGGCTGCATGAGTATTCCCATACTGATGGCAAGAAAGTCGATGCATTGTCTTTGCTGGTCTTGCCCACATGGGCAGGCAGGGAATCCACACCTGGTGTTTGGGTGTTAGTAGAGCAAATGTCCTCCATGGCTCAAAATGAGAAATGAGTGCTCAGCCACTTGCCATGTGTGATGCCACTCCACTCCCCTCTATTCAGAGATTGAAAGTTGCTCCCTTTGGCTGCCTTGCAGCTCTTTGGCTTGTCATTGCTTTAATTTTGCATAACTGAGGTTAGTGTTATTTACACTTCGAATGCCTTAGGGAGAATTATTTTATTTATAATTTTAAATATTTCAGGTAGGTGTTGAGGAAATGTCAGCTGTGAATGACACTGGAAAGCATAGATAATTTAGTGCTCACACTAAACCCATGACATTATAAGTTATGGGGATTTTGAGCTCCGACAGAATGTCATTGGTGTCCTTCACCTAATGACCCTAAAAACTTACATCCTTAGGGATCACGTTTGACAGATTTACTGCACAGGAAATGAAGGCTAGTGTTCATTTTCATCCTAGCTCTTTTGATTTTCTTTGCTGTGAAATCTCTTTTGAGTATTCTCCCATTATGTTGAAGTACAAAATACAGACTTAATGCTCCACCAATCCATGACATGATTGCCTGATCTTAAAAATTGTGAGTGTCTTGGCTTTCCTTTTTCAATTTTTTACGGAACAACTACTGAAAGAACGTGAAAATCTGGCTGCAGTAGTAGCTTATGTGTCTGTGTGCCTTTGGTTTCCCTTTCTTTCTTGCATGGAACTTCTTCTGAGTACTTTGGTTGTTGTTGCCATCTCTGCATTTTGGTAACACTGCAGGGATGTGCCTATTTTTGTATGCATGTGTATTTAATGTGTACAGAGGGGAACTGGAGGTAAACCTGCAGGTCAAGGCCTTGGAATGGCCATGGAGACTAATGGTAGGATATGTTCAATGATTGCATGTCACTGAAGCACATATATCACACTGCAGAAAATGAAGGGTGCTATCTGAAATATTTACAGTATTGTCGCCTTAGTTGACTTGCTAGTATTCTGCTTTGTGGATTCCTGAGAGAGTGTTCTCAGATTAGTGCCACATAAGCAAACATTTTATATCCACAACATATATATGCATATGCTATATACTTCTTAAATTGAATGGGACCCGTTATCTAATAAGCTTAGAAATCTAGAAGTTTTGTTGCCTTTCCATAGTACTCTCAAATTGTACATTAGAATGTATAGCCTTTTTATCTTTATCAATATTCATATAATTAAGAAAATGCAAAACGAAAAAAATTCCTTCCAGTAGCACCTTAAAGACCAACTAAGTTAGTTCTTGGTATGAGCTTTCGTGTGCATGCACACTTCTTCAGATACACTTCAGATAAGAAAATGCAGTAAGTGAGATCCTGCATAGTGTGAGGAGGCATCTACTTGTACAACAGGGCTTTCCCTTCCTCTCCTGCCCCCTGCTGCCCCACAGGCACCCCCCAAAATCTGCAGAGGGTGGGGGGCCCTCTAGAACAGATTTGGGGAGCTTGCAAGGGACTGGAGGAGGGAGAAGGAAAAGAGAAACCAGACGTCCTGTGGTGCAAGCGAGTGGACATCATTGGAACAGGGCTTTATTATGACTGCTCCTGTTCTGTGGAACAGCATACAGCCACTCTCTCCACTTTCCAGAAACAACTGAAAACATTTTTGTTTTTTCAAGCTTTCCCAGCTATATGAATGGGTCCCTGCCATTGGTGTCCAATTCGTATTGTTTTTAAACTCACCTCCTCATATTTTTTGTTTTAAAAAGCTGCTGTTCTTATAATTTGTACACTGCCATGGGATTTATGTGGAAGGAGATTAATATAAATAATTAGAGTAATATCTCCCAGTTGTTTTTATATAGCTTGCTCTTCCTGAACAGCTGGATTATTAGTGTGTTCAGTTAAATCACTTTCATCAGGCATATGTTTGTGAATTAGCATTGCTGAGAGCTGCAACGCATTTACTCTTTTTTTAAAAGTGTAGAGGGAAACTAACTATCAATTTCTCTTTTAAAGAGCATGACAGTGATGAGGATTCATACGAAGTACTGGATTTAACAGAATATGCAAGGCGCCATCATTGGTGGAACCGAGTGTTTGGCAGGAATTCTGGACCTATTGTAGAAAAGTATTCCGTAGCTACTCAGATTGTAATGGGTGGCGTATCAGGCTGGTGAGAACCAATTGTTTTTAAATACTGTAGTGTGTTTTTAATAGAACAATTTTCTTCTGAAAGTATTTTTAAAGTGATATAAGTTTTGCATTTCTGAGATCACACTGAACTAGTAAAAGAGGCTTCAAACATTCTTATAAGCAGTTTTCAAAATATATTGGAGAAGAAATTGCTATCTTTTTTTTTAAGATAGGGCAGGGATGGCACAATTGATTATGAGACTGGATTTGAATAGTTGGCGTTTTTAACTGTGACTAAAGATAATGGGTGATATTCAATGTCAGTTGAATTGGACTGGGACCAGTGAAATCAATGGACTGAAGTTACTTTAATCCAGGCTTCCTCAACCTTGGCCCTCCAGATGCTTTTGGCCTACAACTCCCATGATCCCTAGGTAGCAGGACCAGTCATCAGGGATGATAGGAATTGTAGTCTCAAAACATCTGGAGGGCCGAGGTTGAGGAAGCCTGGTTTAGACCATTGATTTCAATGGACCTACTCTGAGTGTGACTTCATACTTTTACATTTACACCTTGCAACCTACAAATGCTTACAAATGAGGTATTGTAGTTCAGTATTTATTTAATTAACTTCAGTTTCATTAAAAGATTTGGAAATAAAAGTGGGTTGGTAAAGTGAAACCACCCTCCTGTGGCACTGTAATGTCGCTGTTCGGAATGCAAAATAAAATAGAGCTCGATATTAGGGATTGACTAGGTAGAAAAAATAATCTTCACAAGTTCCACAGCGCTAAGGGACCTAAAAAGAAAGTATTCAAAATAGTGGTGTAAATTATATTATGACAATGCAGTTTATATCCATCAGCATTTTTATTACAGATTAGTTTGATCAACAGGATCCACCTATAGAAGTTAACTATCAAGTACAGTGGTACCTCGCATTAAGAATGTAATTCGTACTGGAGGTCCATTCTTAACCTGAAACTGTTCTTAACCTGAGACACCACTTTAGCTAATGGGGCCTTGCGCTGCCGCCACACAATTTCTGTTCTCATCCTGAAGCAAAGTTCTTAACCTGAGGTACTATTTCTGGGTTAGCGGAATCTGTAACCTGAAGCGTCTGTAACCCGAGGTACCACTGTAACTGACTGCATGCAGTAATGTCATGTAGGCTTATTTATTCAGGAAAGTAGATTCTAGCCTCATATTTTGCAAAGACCACTAAATCATATCTCTTGTTGTGCTGTTTGTCTCATGTTGCTCTGTCTGGGTTGCCAATGAGAATAATGAGAGTTCCTGCATATTTCTTATCCCATGAGATTCTACACTTGCCAACAGTATTCAGTTAGGGAGTTTCAAAATGCACAATCTTGAGCACGAGAATGAGAATTCTGGAACACAGTAACCAATTATCAGATTATCCTCATTGCCTATTCTCCTGTGCACATTTACTTGAAAGTAAATATGTTGTGAGCCCAGTAAGTATGCACAGTTTGACAACTCAGACTGTAATCCAATAACACTTTCCTAGGAATAAACCCTATTGAACTTGGAGGTTCTTAGTTCTGAGTAGACGTGTATAAGATTGCACTGTTAATTTGTCTTTTCCTTTTTCTCTCTCGTTCCTCCAAGGTGTGCAGGATTTTTATTCCAGAAGGTTGGAAAACTTGCAGCGACTGCAGTAGGCGGCGGCTTTCTCTTGCTACAAGTATGCAGACTTTAATTATTTAGAAAGTGCTATGATTTGAATATAGGCAAGTTAACTGCTCAGTAAACAGAAAGGGAAGTGGAGGCTGTAACAACAGCTGAATGGTTTTGCATAAAGTGGTCCCTGGAAGGTATTTCCCAGATCTCCTCTTGCTGGTGCAGCTCTGCTAAAATCCATGTGAGAAGAACCACAAAGTGCCCGTAATGAAACGTTAGAGTTTGGGTTGATGAAGTGTCGTTCGGTCTATCTTATCTCATTTACACACGCACACTTTAAAAATTAAAGTCTCTGTGAAAATCTCATTATGCTCATTTTGTAAATATGACTACACAACGTGAACATAGTTACCTTGTAACATCTAGCATTAAGAGTTTTCATGTCTCTTATTTAAGTATGAGACATTGAGGGGGCTATTTTGTAAAATGTAACATAGCAATCATAAGTGGAAAGTGCTATTTGCTCTGGCCAGGGTGGAACATGGAAGGCATTTTTTGTTATTGGGGAGGGGGGTGTTTCCCTCACTGATAGTTTTAATCCCTACCCCCAGTGTTGGGCATGAGTTTCAGGCTGGCTCAGTTAAGGAGACTAACAAGGAAGAGAGAGGACTTTGGATTCAGCATTCCAGGGCAATATGATATGCCCCAGAATGCTGCTGAATGAGTCTCACTGCTGGTGGTACTTCTGTGCCTGTTGAGCTCTGGGTGGATGTACCAAGGGCCTCCAGTGTGGATGGACCATCCAACTAGTACAGCTTTTCCTTGCAAGTGGAGCCACACTTCCACCCCATCCTAAATGCCCCCCCCCCCGCTGCAAGCCGGCCTTCAGCAAAGATTAGGATTCCTGTATGTAAATGTACCATTAAAGACATTATGACTGTAAGCCAAAAATAGATTCTATAAACAAACTGATAGGTTTTAAGTGGCATGCCCATAAATACTATTCTAGACTTTAAATATTTATTGCCGTCTCTCTGCTGATTTATTTTAAAATTAAAAGTTTAAAGATATATACAGTCTAGGGGGATTATGTTGTTACAAAATGTGGAAGGTGACCTATTTTTAGCAGATAATAGTTTCCTAAATGAGTACATTTCCTTAAATGCATTGAGAATTTTTTTTGCTCTAGCTCTTCAGATGTCTGTCTTTTACTTTTCCTAGATTGCTAGCCATAGTGGCTATGTACAGGTTGACTGGAAAAGGGTTGAAAAAGATGTAAACAAAGCAAAGAAGCAACTCAAAAAACGAGCAAACAAGGCAGCTCCTGAAATCAACACATTGATTGAGGAGGTAAAGCATGTCTTACTTGCTTTTGAATATTGATTTTGCTGCGGCCTTGATGTGATGTTGGGTTTCCAGGTGTTCCGTATCTTAACAACCTATGGTATGTTAGATGACCCTTGTCTCCAGGAAAAGGGGTGCTGAGTAAAGCTTTGGGCTGCACACTCCAAGTGCTGTGCCCCAGATGGCCTTTGCTTTACCCTGGACTTCAGCAAGAAGGGAGGGAATGCAGTCCCCACCCCCCATGGGAAGAGTCCTTCACTTGGGTATATTGCCTGACTTGAATGTTTGACTGTTTGGTGCCTGGAGGCCTTTTGACTGGTTCTATAGCATATTTTATTTATTCAGTCTTCCATTGGCCCTTAAAGAGTCAGATGTCTGTATCCATGAAACAATTATATTTCCTTAGAAATAGGTTTTTATTTGAGAACAAATGCCACCTTAAAAAACTAAAAAAATGTACTTTGGTATAAACTATTAGCTCGGACAAACGGAGCATCAAATGCACAAAACTGTATGCCACAATACATTTGTTAGCCTTTTAAAGGTGCCTAAGGACTGCAGATTTTCTGGCAACAGACTACTCTGGATTTTTTATTTAGGGGTTCATTATTTAAAGTATTTATGATAAAACATTTTAAAGCATTTGAAATGTCACAGGGTGGTTGCAGATGCTTTCTACACAAGCATTATGGACTTATAATTCAAGACTAAGGTAGATAGTTCCTTTTTAAAGCAATGAACAATCTTTCCACAACTAACAAAGCTCTGCCTAGAGTTGCAGTACTCTGTAACTCTGGTAGTTATCTGAGTGCAAAAAGTATTTGTTTATTTAATTTTTATTTTATTTTTTTGCTGTAATGCTATTTCCACAGTCTATAGTGAACTCTCTTTCCTTTTCAGACAACAGAATTCCTTAAACAGAACATAGTTGTATCTGGCGGGTTTGTCGGCGGCTTCTTGTTGGGCCTTGCATCTTAAGGACATTTCTCTTCCTGCTGGCTTAACCATGATAATGAAGAAGGGTAGCAACACACAGTTCTTAAGTGAGGCAGTCTGAGTCGCTCTCTAATCACTCCAGAGCAAGATGGATGGATTTGCCAGACAAATCTTGAGTATTTTGCATTTTAGGCTTTTGCCTCCTTAAGCTTGCTGAAACAGGTTTGCTGAAAAATCTACAGTGTGTTGCATAGCATTCCTGAAGGAACAAGAACTGGCTAACTTTTGTCATGATTTTTGTTATTGTATCTCCATGCAGAATTCAGCATATTTAATAAGCTATCTTTTGGCTCTACATCTTTCCCCCCCAATTTTAGGGATATATTTTTATTATTGTTTAAGACAATCCCATGCTGTGTTTAATCATGCCTATGACTAAATGTGTATATTGTGCTTCAAGCGCAGAACTAGCCATCTTCTGTAGAAACCACTGCAATAAAAATAATGTATACATCAGTAATACCTTTTTGCAAAGATGAAGTAACAGGCAATTGTGAACCTATTAAAGAGTGAAGATCAATCAATGTCTGATCTTTGCTTTCGTGTGTTTTCATATGTTGTATCAACTTGATGTGGTTCCATCATCAATCACACAAGCAGATTGTGGGCAATAGCAAATATAAAAAATCAGAGGAACAGAGGATCGTTTATAAGCAAATTGCAGGAATGACCCATTTCCAGGAAACATTTTAGTGGCAGCAGCTTTTAGGATTGCTCCACGAACAGCTTCAAGATGCAAACAAGTGTCCAGTGGAGAAATATATATGAAAAGATCCCTATGTGCAACCAGGCTGTACAATTTACTTTCTCGGGTGCAGTACAGTGAGGGAGCATTCTTAGAAAGGTGGCTTGGTCAGGACAAATGGTGTTGGAAACTGCTGCCAGTATACTGGGAAGACAAGGATACAAAAGGACATATGCATGTGTATAATGGACTTGCAAGCAAAGATGCAGTAAATGGACCAGTGACCAAGGATACAGCTAAAACTGATTTGTGTATGTAAGAGTTGGCTTCTCCCCTGCATCTCTGTGGGCATTTAGCTTCAGCAGGGGGACCCAAGAGTTCCAAATCACACACTCCATTTTAACCCTTGGAAGCTAAATAAGGATTAGCTGTTAACTCTGGGAAGCTGTACCAGTATCCAAGAGGACATGAAATGGTTGAGAGTGCAAGCTTGCAACAAACCAAGAATCTTCTGCCAAAGGACTTGTACAGAGCAAGCTACAGGCCAAATTATTATTTTTTAAGTCTACTCTCCAGCTGACAGTGATATTAAAGGCTACTGCCCCATTCTCTATTCTAGTGCTGCCACTGAGTTACACAGTTCTTGTGAATATGAAAAGAAAAAAGAAGAACAATCTGATTCCTTTGCTTAAAAGTTTTCCAGTTTCATATGCCACTTTTGCTGGGCACTCTTCACTTTTTGGTTCTTTGGAGTTTACTGGTCCTCTCTTGCATTCGCTTCTGTCTTGCAATATATTAGCAAATACTTTAGAATAATATAACGTTGTTTTCCCAGTTCTTGTCTCTGTTACTGTCCCTCAGGACTCAGTTCTTGGCCACCTTTTCTCTCTCTGGTTTCTCTAGTCTACAGACTTGATTAATTTATTTTGGCCTGCAGTATCATTGTGATGCTGATGAGAATTCAGCTCTTTTTCTCCTCTTCCTCTGCTCATTCCAACTGTCTTGCAGTTATTTCTATTGGGATATTGGATAATGATTTTAAAATACTCAAAGGAGAAAATTTGTGCCATCATCCTTTCTCCCCACCAAACCAATGGTTGGAACTCATGATAGGAACCTGGATAGCTCAATTGGTTAGAGCAGTGTTTCCCAACCTTGGGCCTCCAGCTGTTTTTGGACTACAACTCCCATCATCCCTAGCTAGCAAGACCAGTGGTCAGGGATTATGGGAATTGTAGTTCGAAAACAGCTGGAGGCCCAAGGTTGGGAAACACTGGGTTAGAGCATGGTGCTGATAAGGCCAAGGTTGCAGGTTTCATCCCCATATGGGACATCTGCATGTTCCTGCATTGCACGGGGTTGGATTAGTTCAGGCACCCCCAACCTTTGGCCCTCCAGATGTTTTGGACTACAGTTCCCATTATCCCTGACCACTGGTCCTGTTAGCTAGGGCTCATGGGAGTTGTAGGCCAAAACATCTGGAGGGCCGCAGGTTGGGGATGCCTGGACTAGCTGGTCCTCAAGGTCCCTTCCAACTCTGCAATTCTATGATTCTATATCCCTCCAATTGCTGGACTCTTATTTACTATCAGCTGCAACCAACATTAGCAATGGATGATAGGTGTTGTAGTCCAAAAACATCTGAAAGGCAACAGACGTTCCCCTGCTCTAAACACTTTGTTATCCTTCTCCCTCATAAGATAACATCCCTCTTCAGTTTCTCAGCAAGTTAAGGCTTTAGGGGTGATAGCCCTTTCATTCTTGCATCACATTACTCCTCTGGTTAATATCGGCTTGCAGGCATCCCATAGACATCTGGTTTGCCACTGTTAGAACAGAGTGCTAGAATAGATCAACCTTTGGCTTGATCCAGCAGGGCTCTTATTTCTTAAGAACTTGGAATGTTAGTTCAGCTCCCAAATATTAAAAATTACAAAACATGGAATGGTAATATTTTATGATGGACCTACACCACAAAAAGATAGTTGATAAATGCTTGTTTTTTTCTAGTTACTGAAAACCTATGGAAGTGTACACCATCACCCCTGGAATAAATTCTTCTAAACTATCAATTGCAATCAAATGAAATATTTCAAAATACAAGTTATGAAATCCCAGGAGCCTGGCGTTGCAGGAACAGGAGACAGAACTTTAAGGATTTTGCTTCATAACTGCAATATCCCAAAAATTGGGATATGGTTTCTTGGAGAGGAAGTTGAATTTGGAAATCCTTATAAAGAGCAAATAAGCAGTTAGTACTACTGCTAGTTAATGAAGCACAAGGACTAGGTTGATCATTATTCTCCAATGAGCTTCAAATGGAGAGAATTCTGTAATCTTTAAATTAACATTCATTTATTGCCCTGAGGAGCTCAGTTCAGCAGAGATGAGTCTATGGCTGCAGACCACCTGCTGAGCATTATTGTGCAGGGATTTGAACTTGTTTGAACCCAGTACTTAGCTGCTGCACCATCCAGGCCGACTGATGGTGAAACACACGCGCACATGCACACACACATCTGAATTCCACATTCTTTCATCTTCTGGAGTAGTAGCTGCCTTGACTAGTATGCATCAAAGCAGAGAAATGGATTCCTGATGGGCTACTCCACCTTCGCCATCTGCCCATACTAATGTTCCCAACCGAAGGTATGAAAGGCTGCTGTACAATCCTGCATTTTAGAATGTAAATCTTTCAGTAGATGGCTGTTCTCTTGGTGGTTGTGACAATATCTCTTAATGCGGAAGGATGCATCTGTTGTGTCATGTTCCAAGATTTTTAGGGTTGGAAGGGAAAGAACTTCCATCTTCCTGTGATATTTTGCATCTTTTGGAAATCCATCTTCATCTCTTAGAAATTACATGTTAACTGCGCCATTTTAAAAAGTTTAGATTTAGCAAGTAAGACATTTCCATTTCCTGACAAACTTGCCTGTATTTTTTCAATGAGGAAAGGTGCTGACATTCTAAGGCGTTCCTTACATTGAGCAATGAGTTTGAGAAAGAAGCGTTCAAAGAAATAAGACAAAACCATCATGTTTCTGAATCAGTGAAGCAAATCTGGTTACCAGATATTGGCCTCTGAGCACAGCTGCTTTTTGTTTTTTCTAATCTTGGGTCATGCAGATTACCACATTTACCACTTGATCCACATGTGAAGGAAGTACTTGGATTTAAGTTGATTTAGCCCAATTGAAGCCGATGGGATTAAACTGACAGAGTGCCAAGTACTAGTTTAATTGGGCTGTGGACTGTGTAGAAATCACTCATTCTGACTGCAGATAGAAAATCTATTGTATTAATAGGCACAGTTTACTTGAAGAACCCTTACAAGACGGATATGCCTTTGCAAGTTCAATCAAGGATTCTTATTACGTCAAAATGTGTAGACCCTGAGTTCATTGGGTATGATTCATGGCTTATAAGTGACACTGATAAATGAAGTGCAAAATTAATGTCTGACATATGCTTTCTTGGGAAACACAGTGTTGTTATTCCAGAGTGGGATGAGGCTGGCAATGAAATAAATCTTTTACAGGACCAATTGTTGAGCTTCACTGTTTCCATTCATTTTGCGAGACTCGCTTACAACTCTTGCGGAAACTTCAGTGCAATTAATGGCGGCTTTACAGCTACAGTGCTCTCTGTACCCCCAACTTGTGTCCTTTGTGTAAAATAGCGAAATCAAGAACAGTGTAAAAAATGTCAGAGGTACAAAGTCGCAGTCTTCCTGGACAACATTAATGATTCCACCAGCATGATGTCTACTAAAGTTCTTTACATTTGAAATAATTTTCTCCCCGGATGCATAAGAAGAAAGGGCAACTCCTCCTGAATAAGACCAGGGGTGCATCTAGGCCTGCATCTTAGTAGTCAATTACCGTATTTTTTGCTCTATAAGACTCACTTTTCCCCTCCTAAAAAGTAAGGGGAAATGTGTGTGCATCTTATGGAGCGAATGCAGACTGCGCAGCTATCCTAAATGCCAGAACAGCAAGAGGGATTGCTGCTTTCACTGCGCAGCGATCCCTCTTGCTGTTCTGGCTTCTGAGATTCAGAATTTTTTTTTTATTGTTTTCCTCCTCCAAAAACTAGGTGCGTCTTGTGGTCTGGTGCGTCTTATAGAGCGAAAAATACGGTGATTGAGTCCAGCAAGTCCCCCAACAGGGCTCAAATGTAACACTCCTCCCCTGAGGTTTTCCCTCCAGCGATGGGCATCAATAGGGGGGAGCCCCCACTCCAGTTGAACCATAATCCCTATATCCCCAGCTTTCATGAAACCATCCTCCTTTTTAGCAATTTGGATTTATGATACGGAACCAGTGCTACAGTCTGGATGCAAACTGCTACTGCAGCCCACACCTTGCACACTTGCAGATAGGGCCACTTCCTCCAACTATTGCTCCAGCTATCTGAGAATTATATGGACTATCAAGGCGCATTGGTCCTTGCCAGTGTCCAGTTTACACATTTTTGACAAGTGATGGGAAGGAATGCTAACTGCACATTGGGCGCAGATGTGTGTTGGAATGTGTGATATATGGGCCCATTTGTATGGATTCCATGACTTGCTTCTATTTCACAACCGCAATGCTCTGATTAACTCCGATGTTAGTTAACGTTGCCCTCCATGTTGCTTTCATGCATTATCCAGCTTTCTAATTTCAATGCCTGCCTAACCCCTCCCCCCGGCTCTTTTATTGAAGCAGGAGAGAAACAAATCTTTAATTAAAATGCGATTGAAAGAGCTGCCGAGCTTGGCAGAGGCAAAAGCCCCTCGATTTCAGGTTGATGGTATCACATTAAAAACAAAGCAGGTCATGCGTGCCACAGCTGAAG